GCATCAAGAACCTTGACAAAATAGGTAAAATAAAGCACATTAACTAGGCAGACAAGATACATTAAGCATAAATCACCAAGAGAAGCACCAAATGCAACATTTTTTGTCAAATGGAAAAATGTTATATGAATGCGAGAACTGTGGCCTACCTCCCATCCTGCTTCTGGCTGAAGTGCTGCTGCTACCATTGAACTTGCTTTCCCCTATCATTCAAAGGAATAAATATCAGTAAAATTAAACAAATATTAAACAGAACTCACAAAGAACATTCACCATTTACCTGCAAAAATATACGCCCATTCGCAACCAAACGATGAGCATGCAAATCGCTGCCAGGGGGCAACACCAACAAGTCAGGAACTGTCTCGTCCCTCTGCACCTGTTTTTAATAGTAAAAAAATATGACTTAAAATGAAATCTCGTAATAAAGAGAAGATTGTGACATCATAAAAAGAACACTTCTCATATATAGCACACATCCAAGTTTTTAATTTCAGTAACTATACGGGGATGGGAGAAAATTCCCCGAGTGAATGACTGAAACTAGACCGTTCTCCCACAATAACTCATCCTGTGAGAACTAAACAACAGATCTAGCACACCAGTATTCTTCAAGGTCTATAAAACTTGAAAACGTACCGTATAATGTTTCTCCAGCTCCTGCACAGCGGAATCCACATCCATCTTAAGCGTATTTACACGAACATAACGTGGCTTCATATGACCTGCATCCAAACATCGAAATCAAGCTACAGAAACATACTCAAAAGCCAAAAAATAAGTGAAACACATTTATACTAGAGGGTATCAAAATACCATTAAGTTTAGAAAGACCCAACAACTGATCAACACTTTCGACTTTCTTTCTCACTAAAAGCGTAGCTAAACCTGACAACAACGCATCTTTATGCCGCATAAGAAACTTCTCAGCATCACCAATTGATGGAGTATCCTACAATCACAAATTCCCTTATAGTAAACCAAAACGGTGATGTTCGTTTGCCAGTCGCAACTACTCTTAAACGAACAACAGAACCAGTCGCTAGCGAACAAGACCTACCTTGCCAAAGAGGATATCGTAGCAAATAATGTAAACCAATGGCTCTTGCCTCTACATACAAAAAAAAACTAAGCATTAAAGATAAGTGAAAAAACAGAGCAATTTTAGTAAATTCAGATGAACAAAAACATACCTTCCATTTACTATTCAACACATTAGCTATTTCAAGAACATCTTTAATCACAGTAAGATCTGCATATACACAACAAAATTCACTTCATAGTTCCTTAAACCTCAAAACTGGGAACGAAGAAGAAGAAGAAGTTTAAGTACGTTTGAGAGTTTCGCAGACGAGAGCGAAAGTGGCGCGTTTGTTGCGAACGGAAGGACTAAAGACGAGTGATTTGATGGAAGCAACGGCTCGTCGTTCGGCGTCTCCACGGAGAACGGACCGGAGTACATTAGCTGCTTCTCTTCTGGCGTAGAGAGCTGATCTCTCGGCGGCGGAGAAGCGTTGTTTAGTAGCTGGTGGTGGTTTTGGTTTGTGACTCTCGGCGCCGGAAAATCTTTGTTTTGCCGGCGGCGTTTTTGGTTTGTGACGACGCGCCATGATAATAACTCTCAAAGTCTCTCTCCCTCACATAACTAAAACCCTTCTTCGTCTTGGAGTCTTTAAACGCACCGTTTTCAATTCCCGGTTTTATTAAACCGGATCCAAATCTTGTCGCAGCCGGTTTACATATTTGCGTCTTTAAAAGCACCGTTTCGGTTATCGGTTTATTAAACCGGATCCAAATCCTACCGCACCGGTTTACATATTTTTAACTTTTTAGGTATGAACCTCCTTGAGTTTTTAACTTTTTATGAGTGATTAACATGAAAATTTTCCAAAATGTCAACATCTATCGTCTTGTATTATTATTACATAACAATCAAATTCATAACACAAACAAGAAAAGTGATGTAGTATCTACATTCACAACATCATGTCAGATCGTGTCATTTATTCATCGATCTTATTTGAGTTTATAAGTTTTGAAACAATGTCTTGAGATTGAAGGGTCCAACAAGATCGGATGGACCGTCCCACATGGACTCTGCGGTATGTCGATTAGCCTTTTCAGTTGTGTGTGAATTATCAAAGAACATATAGTCACTAACATTTTCACATAACTCGAAATCATGCGACATTCCTGATATGTACCCACACGTATTGCTTCCCCTGAACGGTCCACTTCCACAACAAGCTTTCTTCACTTCCTTAAACCCTAATAACGCAAAAAAGACAATGATGATATATATAAACATGAAATATTGTAAACAAGTAAACTTAATGTCGGAGTTTTTTTGGAATGTTCGAGGCTTAAATAAATCGACAAAACGTTCCCTAGTAAAGAGTTATGTAAAGATATAGCTAAAAGAACACATATGGTGACGCTTGGGACGAAACTAATATTATATGTTGTAGTTTCGGGCTTAGAGAGATTACGAGTTTTGGCCCAAAACCTCCTGGTATTAAAAAAAATTAAAAAAAATAATAACACATATGATATACCGTATTTTGTTGGATTCTCCAAAGTTTCTGTATCAGCGGAGTAGGAGTCAAAAAGGGAGTATTTGAATCCGGGATATCGATGTTGTACATCTCTCAAAACATTTGGGATTCTTACGTTGTGAAGTTTTATCAACTCATTGATCGGTTCGAAACATGATCCTATTCTTGGTGGATCCAAGTCTAGCAATCCCGGAACACAATCGAGTCGACCCATGTTCATGATCCCAAATTTTCTTCCTCCAATTTTATAAATTTCCTGCAAAGAACAAAACAAATTTTTAATTCTTTTTAATAGCTTATTTTGAGATCTTGACACCAATTGTGTGGTCTCATCACCATTTTTGGTAACAATAGCATCATATATTCAATGCAAATAATATTTTTTGTATCGAATTATTCAATTAGTCCATATATGTATATAATTACCTCGATCACAGTCGTGGTGTTACCGATAACTTGATCTATATATTTGTCTTTGCTATTGGATTGAAAATAAGAGATGTTAACAGAGAAAGGATAAAAATAGTCGTTAGGACCGATATGAATGAGATAAACGGCTCTCGATATAATCCTTTCGGTCTCTGCATCTCCTAGTTTCTCTTTAAACATCTTCTCCACATTCTTGAAGTTGTTTAACTGACTTCCCAACGATATCACGTTCTAATAAAGAGATGAAAGAAAAAGGTTTTTAGACCAACTTAGTATAGAGTTTTATAAGTAACGTTCCAATATATATATTTTGTTAATAACCTAGACCATTTCTTGAAAGTGCCTTTGAAACGTGTATCATGAATTAACTAGGAAATAAAGACTGATCAACATATCTCCAAAAACAAATTTCTATGGTTTCTTGTTTGTATAAAAATAATGTTGAAGAATTGTACATGTGGTTGATAAGTTTCAACCAAAGCTCCAGCGCTGGAAGAAGCGAAATTAAGACCGTAAGTAAACTGATTGACGACGCTAGCTATTCCCGGTATCAACGAGCTATGCATAGTGTAACGACCGGAATTTTGAATTAAACCGCGAAGCCCGAACCGACTAATAGAAAAACACAAGTCCCGAGACAAGTCATAAAAACCCTTGGCCGTCAAGTCTCTCGGTAAGCCTCGCATCCTTGACTCAAGTCCTCTGTTTTTGTGTCGTTGTGACTCGACCTTAACTCGAACCTTGTTTGTGATTTTGTGAACCACCGCAGCACCACCCTAGCCGCTGGAGATCCTCGTTGCGCTCAGTCTGTGTCGCCGCGTGAAACGTCTTCAGGAGAGGTAAACCTGTAAGCCAACTTTGGGTTCAGTCTTTGCTTTTGCCTTGGATTGTTGAATCAATCTAACTAGTGGGCTTGAACCACTGCAGATCTGTGTTGCCCAGCCGCCCACTCCGCCATTCGAACTCAAGCCGTCTTGAAAGCTAGCCGGGATAGGTAATCCGGCAAATCCTTGTCTCGTGTCTAATGTTGTTGTGTGTTGATTATTGAATCGATAATCGAAACCAGTCTAAACCAAGGAATCGTATGTTTAGTTGAAATCACAGAACCGAAACTTATAATCGTGAGTACGTAACTATAATGTTAAGTGGTGATCATTGTAGGATTGATTATTAAATTGTTTTGGTTTACTCTCTAAACCGGAAGAACATAATTAATTCTCATTAATCGTATGATAAGAAGTTAGGGTTGGTTATTTAAACCGGAATCATGTGATTGTGAATTGAGATGTGGTGTTATTAAGTATTGTAATATGCTATATTTTGTTTTGTAGTTTTATCATATTATACTTAATGCAGTTTTTTTTTATGAATATAATGTAATGCATAAAGTATTTGATTATGAAATTTATTTGTTTTTGAATAACTATGTAGAAATTATATAGGAAAAAAACCCGAAAAAGCCGCCATCTAATTTTTATTTGGCTGTTTAATATCTCTACTATTAAATTTGGAATAAAAATACCTCATTTAATTTTGCTTGTCTTTTTAAAACTTTCATTTTTAAAAAATTGGTAAAATTGTAGCTCCAAGTTAACGACCATTAACTTTGCTAATGGAAGCACTAACTGCGTTTAAACATAAATCATTGTGTTTATATATATATATATACACAACCAGGTGGTTAAATGTGGGTAGACTATCCTACTAAATCTGGGTTCGATTCCCCTCCATCCTATTAGACGTTTTTAATTTTTTTCTTCAATTTTTTTCCACCGCCGCCCTAAACATGCCTTTACCTATATTCTCGTCGCGGTTGCATGAGTTCAAATCAGATCAATTCGATAAACTCTTTCATCCCCGATGCTCAAATGATATTCCACGTCCTCGGAATTTGCGACCAACTAATGGTCACCACTCACCATTTCCTCCGATCTTCTCCTTCATGGCTCCCAATTATCCCAGCTCTACATCTCTCTCCTCTGGAACTTCACAATCCTTCGCAATTTCGTCAATTCCAAACACAAATCATCTTCTCAGTACTCTCATATCTTAAACGATCTCGATTTCATCAATCACTGCATGATTCTAGGACCTTTTGTCCTTTTCTTCCAATCTTTAGCTTCCTTTAATGGCCTTATCTCTGACATTACTCCGATCTTACCTAACTTCTCTGATCTATGGAACGCTTCGAAGTTTCACCCTAACTCCGATTACGCTAGACAAATCCCTATTCCTACAATTATCCTCGACCAGCTTTACCACTTCGCCGCTTTCTGGAACTCTGTCTTCTCTGCCGCCGGATTCACACGTGTCAACGCCGCCGCGACTCCGTACACTTCTATCGATAACCTCCACGGATTCAAAAACCAATTCGGGGATTCTCAGATTAATTGGTTCATCGAATTGGTTCAGATCAAAAACCAATTGATCAACGCCGCCGCGACTCAATTTTCCTCCTTTTCTCTTGGATGAAGTTAAAAAAAAGTTTTTTAAAAAATTAAAGAAAAAAATTAAAAACGTCTAAAAGAAACATAGGGGGGAATTGAACCCATGTTCAGTTGGGTAGTCAACCCACTTTTAACCACTTGACTAAGACAAGATATTCTTTAGGTTTTGAAAAGAGATTATATATATATATATATTCGTAAACACCATTGGTTAAATTTTAACCGCAGTTAGTACTTCCGTTAGCAAAGTTAACAGTCGTTAATTCGGGAGTACGATTTTAAAAGGCCAACCGAAATTTAGTGAGGTGTTTTTATTCCAAATTTAATATTACAAGTATTAAACGGCCAAATAAAAATTAGATGACGGTTTTTTCGGGTTTTTCCCAATTTATATATGGGTTTTATTATTAATTATTTTTTATATATTTTATCATAATAATATTAATATTTAGTGTTTTTATACTTTTTTATAATTGTAGATTACATTTATTTGGGACATGGGAACACGTGATATTTCTCCCTGAGAATTATGACATTTGTTGGATGAGTTGAAAGATGGTTTAAGTTCATTTAATAGAATTTGTTGGTTATTTTTGGCTATGCATTGTTACTTAAGTTATAAGGTATCTCGTGACATGCCATGTTGTTGAAGTAAAAACCGGGTGTCACAATTTTGGTATCAGAGCGTAAATCTAATGTCAAACTCGTTCTGTCCCGAAAGGCAGTCCTAAGGAAGGAAACTAATTCACTTGCTTTTCTCTGTTCAGATGCCGCCAGAACGTGGAAGTGGAGCAAGGGCTGCTACACTGCCAAGAGTGAGACCAGTGAGTCCAGTGGTCTCTAATGAGAGTGTGCATGATGAGAATCCATAAGTTGTGCCGGCTAAATTAATGTGGCTCGCGAAGAAGCACCACAAGTGAATGGTCATGCACGCAGCTAGTGAGATGGCTATGTTTGAGGAATTTCGTAGGTTTCAGGAATACAAGCATAGGGAGTCAGTTATGAGAAGAGCACCAGAGGTGAATGTTCCACATCGTGGTGGACCGGATGTGGAAGCCCCGCCTCAACATCAGCCCCAACCTTCGCCACATCCTATGCATGCCCATGGACAAGGTTCGTCTTACATGGAGGCTATCAAATATTTGAAGGACGTGGACATGGAGTTCTTTGGTGGTAAATTCAACCCTATTGCTGCTGATAACTGAAGAAAAAAATTGGAAAGAAATCTTGATAATGTTAGGTGTCCGCAAGAGTACCGTAAGAAGTTAGCAGTTCAATACTTGAAGGATGAAGCTTCATTATGGTGGGATAAGGTTGTACCTCAAGTGCAAGGACGATATAAGTTGACTTGGGAGAATTTCAAGACATAATTTTCAAAGAAGTATTTTCCTAACGAGGAAATGTACCGGATGGAGAACGAATTCTTGGAACTTCGCCACGAAAACATGATTGTGAGGGAGTATGAGGAGGAGTTTGATCGATTAAGCTGGTTTGCAGGCCGATTCATGGACGAGGATGAGCTTGCTTGCATTTTTTGGAGAGGTCTGAGAATTGAGCTCTAGAATAGTTGTGAGATGAATTACTACCGCAACATGATTGAACCAGCGGAAAAACCTGCTAATTTGGAGATTGGGTTGGAAAAAAATATGAGTTAGAACAAGGCAGTCTAAGCAAAAGCTGCAAAGAGACCTAACTCTCACAAGAGGACGTAGGATACAACAAATGTGAGAACTCCACCGACGTATTTAGGATGCCTTGGCTGATTGCATCCAAAACACGTCGGTGGAATTCTCACATTTGTTGTATCCCACGTTTTCTTGTGAGAGCTAGGTCTCTTTGCAGTTTTTGCTGGCCTGGCTTATTCTAACTCATATTTGTTTCCAACTCAATCTCCAAATTAGCAGCTTTTCCCACTGGTTCAATCATGTTGCGGTAGTAACTCATCTCACAGCGATTCTAGAGCTCAATTCTCAGACTTCTCCAAAACATGTGAACAAGCTCATACTCGTACATGAATCGGCCTGCAAACCTTCTCAATCGATCAAAATCCTCTGCATACTCCCTCACAGTCATGTTTCCCTGGCGAAGCTCCAAGAACTCGTTCTCCATTTGGTACATTGCCTCATTAGTAAAATATTTCCTTGAAAATTATGTCTTGAAATCTTCCCAAGACAACCCATATCATCCCTGCACCTGTGCTACAACCTTATTCCACCATACTGAAGCTTCATCCTTCAAATACTGAACCGCTAACTTCTTGCGGTACTCTTGCGGACACCTAACATTATCAAGATTTTTTTCTAATTTCTTTCTTCAGTATATCAACAGCTATAGGGTTGGATTTACCTCCAAAGAACTCCATGCCCACGTCCTTCAAATATCTGATAGCCTCTATGTAAGACGAACCTTGTTCATGGACTTGAATAAAATGTGGCGGGGCTGCTACATTTGGTCCGCCACAATATAGAGCATTCACCTCTGGTGCTCCTAATATAATTGGCTCCCTCTGCATGTATTCATGGAACCTATGAAATTCCTCAAACATAGTATTCTTATTAGTCGCACGACCATTCACTTGTGGTGCTTCTGTCTGAGCTACAAAAGCCTAAATTCTCAGCATCCACATTATCATTAGAGATCTCTGGCATTGGGCTCACGATCCTCACTCTTGGCTACGTAGTAGCTCTATGATCTAAAGGCTGAAGAAGAATCTTTGATCTGTGGTGACAAGAATGTACAAGGAAGGATTCAAGTAACAATAGATTAAAGATTATACCTTTTGTGCTCAGACATTCCAGTAAATCAAGCACATATCTTTGAAGTAATGTATCGCCTTTATCCGAAAAAATCTTGAATCGGGATGAATCTTCAAGAAATCAAAAGCAAAAACAAATCAATTCATGTAAACGTTTATCCTGAGAAGAAGACAGACACAAAATCTAACAAGGAAACAAAACGTAAACGCACCTTAAGATACTCATCCCAAAGGCAATTATCAGCAACCACCATCTGTTAGTTTCATCCCAATTAAAACCATTTTCTTTCAAAAGATTATTCACAGATTTAAACAAGTTCCTCAATGTCGTATGCATGTTTTTTCAAAACATCTTTACCATAAGACATGAACTTCCAAGCTCGGTTACTAAACAAATGATCTTCGAATCTATTGCCTTTTCAAAAGAATATGTTTGCCATATGAAATCGAAGTTTTAGCTAATATTCTTTTACAGAAAATGTGTATGATGTTTAAGCAGGACACCGCTTGTGTTTATATAGGTTTTAATAAGTCAAGGCTAGCTTGGCAAAAAATTAAATGATATCATTGCAAACGTTGATAATTTCCATTTTGATTTTATAAATCAAAATGAAAGAATTCCTTTTGAATGGTCTAAATTTGATTATAATAATATCCAAGTAAACTATATGCTAAATCTTATGGATCTAACTTGTATACAGTTACACAACGAAATTAACAAAATACTTGAATAATTGTTAACGGAACGAATTGAACTGAATACAATTTTCGTAAATAATTATAAAACGATGAAAAGTTAGTTTTAGTAGATTAATCACGTTTTAATTTTTCAAAAATTTATATTTTCAACATTCTAGTAATATATAGCGAAATCAATTTTTCAAAACGTGAATACTGGAGAAATAATTTGAATAGCAAAAAAAAAATAGTAGAATCATATTTTCAAAACGGATAATACCATTCATCACCATAACAAATTAAAATTGAGGTAGTGAGTCAAGCTTCTTATAATTATATAATTCGTTCTGGTCTTTCACGGGACAAAACTGGTCAATGGAAAATATTAAATGTTATCATGTGAACTGAGTAGCTTAATCAAATCAAAACAATCCCAAATCATTTGTTCTTTGTGGTGAGCAACTAGGCTTAGTGGAAGCATTACTTGTAACTCTATTGTTTTATCAACTTTCCGTAAAACTGATACGTAAAACACATCATGGAAGCTAAAATAACTCTTGTGGTAATGTCAAACGATAAGCTACAATCAAAACGAAAAATTTCCAAAACCTCACCTCGTATCATTTTTCAAATGCCTTGACACATTGTGCATGAAGCTTAGGAGTAGACAATCTGTATTTCAATATTTTTACATAACCATCAAATTCACAACAGAAAAAAAAAACAAATTAGTTTAATATCCAGATTCACACCATCACATCATGTGATTTATTCATTGATTTCGATCGTTTAATTAATTTATAAGTTTTGAAACAACGTCTTGAGAGTGAAAGGTCCAACGAGATCGGACGGACCATCCCACATCAACTCGGCGGTCTGTTGATTAGCCTTCTCACTTGTGTGTGAGCCATCGAAGAACATATAGTCACTAACGTTTTCGCATAACTCAAATTCACGTGATGTTCCTGCTCTATACCCACACGTACTGCTTCCCCTGAACGGTCCACTTCCACAACAAGCCTTCTTCACTTCCTTAAACCCTAATTACCAAAACAAGAAAGCAAGAAAAACAATCACGATATCTTTAAACATGCATTGTATTTGTGCCTACATATTGTAAGAAAAACCAAAAAATAACACATAGAGCTTGATACCGTATTTTGTGGGATTCTCCATAGCTTCGGTTCCAGCGGAGTAGGAGTCAAAAAGGGAGTATTTAAATTCGGGAAATCGACGTTGTATATCTCTCAAAACATTTGGAATTCTTATGTTATGAAGTTTTATTAACTCAGTGATCGGTTCGAAACATGATCCGATTCTTGTTGGATCCAAAGTTAGCAATCCAGGAACACAGTCAAGTCGACCCATGTTCATGATCCCAAATTTCCTACCTCCAATTTTATAAATTTTCTGCAAAAAAGAAAACAACTTATAAATTATTTTAATAGCTTATCATAGAGATCATGACATTTTGGTAACAATATGATCAAATATTCAAAGCAAATAATATGTTTGTATCCAAATATTAGTTAGTCCATATGTATAAATACCTCGATCACAGTCGTGGTGTTACCAATAACATAATCTACAAATCTGTCTTTGCTATTGGATTGAAAATAGGAGATGTTAACGGAGAAAGGATAGAAATAGTCGTTAGGACCGATCTGAATGAGATAAACAGCTCTCGAGATTATCCTTTTGGTCTCTGCCTCTCCTAATTTTTCTTTGAACATCTTCTCCACATTCTTGAAGTTGTTTAACTGACTTCCCAACGGTATCACGTTCTAATTAAGAGACAAAGGAAAAATGTTTATAATCCATAGAGTAACATTACAATATATCAACTTTTTTGTTAATAATCTAGACCATTTCTTGAAAGTGCCTTTGAAAAATAACATAACACCAAAATCAAATTTATATACAAATAATCTTGAAGAATAATGATATATTAGATACCTGTGGTTTATAAGTTTCAACCAAAGCTCCGGCGCCGGCGGAAGCGAAATTAACACCGTAAGTAAACTGACTGATGCTATTTCCGGGCTGTAGATATGGCGGTATCAACGGTAGCCATGCATATTCCGCTGTATTCATCACAACCAAAAAAAAAGAAATTAATATCACTAGATTTGTAAAAATAAGATGCATATGTGTTTTTGTTTACCGATAAAATCTGGAATCAAACGCCCGTCAGAATTTCTCCCGGTTGGAAACTTGAATGTGGTTTGACCGTACGGCCAAACATTAGCCTGAGCAGCTCTGAATGTGTTGATGTAATTATTGTTGCCAACGTCGAACACTGAGTCTCCAAACACAAACAATGCTGCTTGGTTCGTTAAGAAAGTTTGTTCGCAGCTTATTGAACTGATAGATAAAATTATAGTCAGAAAGAGTAAGAATATTGAACCAAATCGCTCGATGTTTGCCATATAAAATCGTATCTTTAAGCTAGTTCTTTTGTAGAAAATGTATATGTAGCTTGTGTTTATATATAGGTGTTAGTGAGTCAAGGCTAGCTTGAAAAAAAAAATGAAGAGAAATCATCGCAAATTTGATTTTGCAAATTAAATTAAAAGATTTCCTCTTTGAATAGTCAAAACTTGATTATAATATATGAGGGAACTATATATAAAATGTAATAAAATTGAGATAGTCAAGCTTCGTATCAAAATATGCTTTGAAATAATTGAATACAAAGTTATTTATTAGTTTCTTGTCTTTCACGAGACGGCTGGTCAATGGAAAGGTTTAATTGTTATCATGTGAACTGATTAGTTTAATCAAATCAGAAGAATTCACAATTATTTTTTCCTTTGTGTTGAGCAACTATGGAAACTTCAAGGTACATGGCAACCAAAAATGTTACTTCTTATTAGATGAAAGAGGTAACATATAAGATTTCTTCGTTCTGATGCTTAGGATTTGAAGATCTTCAGGTTATGATTTCATTGCGCCTAAAACATAAATTCGTCTTTTATATGTCAATCAATGGATCAAAAGAGTCATAAAACTATTGATCTCAAATGCCACTCAATATCATGGCCCATAACATTTAATATGTCAATCAAAAGGCCCATTTACACCATAATATAGAGAAGAGAACCAATATAAGCCAAGAGTGCTAGGAAAGAAAAAACAAGTGGAAGACTAACAAATCTTTGAACCAACTTCAAAAAGAATGCTATGCTACACAGAACCTTAAACACATGTTTGAGAATGTTCATTCATCCGTAGAAATAGAATGATCATATTCCTATTTCTGAAAACTGAACTCTTTTAAACGGCGCGATGGATATAAGAAAATAAAATTTATTCATCGATATGTAAGGCGAATCATCTCTCTCTAATAATAGTTATATCATTCGGAAAAAATAAAAAATCAAAGGTTATATCCTTCAACCATCTTGCGTTAGAAAATGTCAACAACTAACGAGATTTGGCTTTCTCACTTAGTAAATTTTACGAATTATGCGCCTGAATTAAGAAGACACTGATGTTAATAGCACAGAGATTTTGTAGATCTCTATTGTTTGATCTACCTATGATGTTGATTTATAGCTACAGTCGTTTTATCGTCACAAACCTTTTATGTCTTTATCCGAAAAGTTAGATACACTGAAACATATTTATATATCAAATCCTTATTCACCTCTAACAACTCTTTTTGTATTAAACAAGAAGAAGAATATGACCCGGCCTTAGTGCACAAGTCATTAAGAAACCGGAGAACGGAGAACCCACATAACAAGTCCGTTTGACTAGAAAATTCAAAGTGTTCGAAGTTACCTATTAAAAGATAAGGCAACAAAATGTTGAAAATTAAACTCAACAGTCTAATCCAAAGAGAATCTATCTTTTGTCATTTAATTATAGTCAAAGATGTCTCTATTGCTTGAAAACACATTTCATACTTTGAAACAAACCAAATCAAGAAATCCGGATCCGGTGTTGGTAACTCAACTAACGTTCTAGCTATCCATCCAAATGGTAGAGTTTTCGATGTCTCGAATTTCAACACCGACGACGGGTAAAGACTAAATTTACCAAGCTTTAGTTTCTAACTTAAAGAGAGAGAAAAAAACACCAACAATAGGACAATCCCCACATCAAAGAAATTATGGATTAGTTTCAAAAAATAAATAAAAAATCATGGATTTAGACCTAAATAATTTTTGGTTTTTTTTTAAAATAACATTAGTTTTTTAAAAAATAACATTAAGAGATGAACATAAAAGAATATTGAGAAAATGCCAAGATGAGAGATGGTAATTTGTGGTTGCGTAACTTAAGCCTTAAGTCCTTGCACAAGAAGACTTGTGAAAAGACTTGAAAAAAAGAAAAAGGAATAAAAAGAGTAATCGTGGACCAAGACACAAGTCAACCACTAGTCTTTGTCATAGAGAAAGACTAAAGAAGATTTAAAGCATACATCTTCCTATGTAAGTTACCTTAAGAAACTGTACACACAAGTACACATTTCTTACAAAGCACTAACATTGAAGCTTCCTTTCGAAAGTTAGTCTTCAGACCAAGAAAAGAGAAGATCACACATTCTTATAGACATAAATAGTGTTGAGCATGAATGATGCAGAGACAAACTTGGCGAGGAGTTTCAGCGATGATACTCACTCAGGATTCGAGTTTCCGGAGCTAGACTTGTCAGATGAATGGATGGATGATGATCTTGTGTCTGCAGTTTCGGGGATGAATCAATCTTATGGTTATCAGACTAGTGATGTTGCTGCTGCTTTATTCTCAGGTTCTTCTAGCAGTTTCAGTCATCCTGAATCACAAAGGACCAACGCTTCTGTTGCGGCTACAGCCACTGCTTCTGCCAGTAAGTTTTCTCTTTAGATTCTAATAATAAGATCAGATCATCGTGAATTCAAAGACATAAGCCCCTAATTATAACGTACGCGAACCAAAATGGCTTGTATATTTGCAGTTTACAAGTCATTCTATACTGAATCTGTTTTTTTTTTCCTCCTATTTCTATATGCAAGACAACCAAAACAAGAAAGAAAAGAAGAAAGTTAAAGAGAGAGTTGCGTTCAAGACACGGTCTGAGGTGGAAGTGCTTGACGACGGGTTCAAGTGGAGAAAGTATGGGAAGAAGATGGTGAAGAACAGCCCACATCCCAGGTAGGGAACAACATTTCTCAATTCTTGCTTACATCTTTCAAATTCAACCTTTTCATACTCTTGAGATCAGTCAGTTTCCATATTACTAAAAAAGCAGAGCAAATGTGAGAACACAAATAGCTGGGAAATGACATGCTTGTAGTAGTTGAATTGTTTTTCAGCCACTGCCTCCTTTGACCTGAAAATCATATACACCAAAAGTACCGTACCACTGGTTAATTGCAATGATTTCCATGTAATTTGCAGAAACTACTACAAATGTTCAGTTGATAGCTGTCCTGTGAAGAAAAGGGTTGAAAGAGATAGAGATGATCCGAGCTTTGTGATAACAACTTACGAGGGTTCCCACAATCACTCGAGCATGAACTAAGGCTCAAGGCAAGATTACGTTGCCTGAAAAAAGATAGTGAGACTATGCTATAGATGGCATCTTATTTTCTATGGTTGAGAGATATAAAAAAGGGTGCAAGATGGTTATGATACTTAAACTGCTTCTAGTTCTTTATATTCATTGTAAACAGGTTTACAAATTTTGCGAGGTTTACGACATTCTGAATCTGTAGCATCTTAGTTTGTTACAAGTGAGAATCGGTGGACATATCAGTCCAGAGAACCTCATATCATATCATAAACTAGCAATCTTGGAATATCAATGATCTAAGCAGATAATTACCAGACCAATTCCCAAACCAATAATGAACACAAGGAAGAGATCACATTTAAATCAAAATCCGAAAATGAGCCATTACAAAGAATCACAGAGCGGCCATTACCTTGAATTTAGCCTTGACGGCTTGACCCTCCTGGAGTGAGATGAGATGAAGCAGACATGTTTCTCCTATGAAGGCTCTGTCTTCGACGTCAAGTCTCTGCTCATCACAGTGATTTCTAAAGGCAGTATTTACACTCAAGACGGAAAATCATATTCTCGTCACTGAATAAGTTCAACTTTTTTAGAAGGAAACAAGCATAGATGAAAGTCGAAACGGTGAATTCGCAAATGGAGTATATTTACCAAAAATTATATTTCTCTTACACATTGATAAAACTGATGACATCTGCATCTACTTTTTTTTCAACTAGAGAAAGAGGAGGAGTCAGCGAAGCATTTTCCACCATGAACGAGACTGCTTTCACATCAAAATGACTAGTTCTTCAGCAGAGAGTGGAAAGAAAGAAGTATAATAATATGCCGATGGAAATGCTACTATCACGATCTTTCTGTTACTTCATCTAAAAAGATCACATCTAAATTTCTTGTAAATGGAACAGAGGCAGCAGAGCTACTCAAATCACCTTCTTGATGGTGCCTATCAGATGTTATACTCCATAATGTGTCCAACCTCTTTCTAGTTGCTTGTGGGTTTGATACAATGATCGCATTTGACTCTGAAGCTTGGCAATTGATGGTTTTATCAATACCACTGGCAAGTAACCAGCGGGATCCAGACTGTTGCTGTGATTTCGTACACCACGGATGGTCTACACCAGGCTCAGTTTTCAAACCCGCAAGACCAATTTCAGTGATTCTCCACAACTGCGTATCATATCCAAAGGAGTCCTTATTTCTTCCTTCTTGAGCCAAACTACACACAGATGAATTTGAGGAATCCAATGACCTTTCAATCTGGATCAGAGCAAGCATAGATGCACCAACAGGGTCATTATTTACGGATAGATCTCTAAGTAATACTTGAAGAGCAAGTGTCAACTTGTTCCTTAATGAATGACCCTTTCCACTAGAAGCCTGATCTTGATAGGCGTGGTGCGCTAATATTTTATTTCTCATTTGCTTGCTGGTTTGATCTTTGTTGTCTAGCATTCCATGGTCAAGCCTTAACCACTCATCCAACGTTGAGGAAAAACTCATCAACTCTAGAGCATCAGACTGATCCATGGGTTTTGGTGCAATTCCTGATTGTGGATCTTGGTCTGACATACTGCATTGAATCTTTAATCCTTCTATCGAGAGAAGGTATATCTCATCAACAGCTAAGGAAGTGATATCTGCAAGAGGTACATAACTTGGACACATATTGGATCCAAAGCCCCCAAATTCTTCATTTGAAGGAAAAAAATCCAGCTGTCGTGATGGTTTCTGAACCACGACACCTCTACTCTTGTCAGAGCAATCATGTCCAGTTCTGTAAGTCATGAAAAAAAATATAACATGACAACTATATCTTTTTAGAATAAACTTGGAAAGTATAAATATAATGCTTAATGAATCAACATGGTGAAAGTATCTGAACCTCTCAAATTTTGCGTCATCGACAACTTCATGTATCGTCTTCCCCATAATATCTTCCAAAGGCATTAATGCATTAACTTCAGAGCAAAGTCCTTTAATTCCAGAAGCTGCCAAACTTTGGAGTATTTCAAGGATATCAGAACCTAATTCTGATACTAGCACCACCGGGACTGAGACTTGCATGATTAGATGTGATGCATCCTTACACTCTCTGAACAATAAAGGATTTATGGACCGGATACACCCTCCCCCTTTTGTCCAAACAGAAGGACCAATGTTATCTCCAAGTGGAAGCAAATCTACCCCCTTGTCAACTGGAAGCTCTATTGGACTTCCAAACCCATCAGAGCAAGCACAGAAAGAGTTCTCAAAACTGTTGTCTTTAAAATCCCACTCTCGCAATAAAGTTTCAGTTTCCAAGTCTTCAAGTACCTTGGCCTTCCTTCTGTCTATTAACAGCTGAGATTTTCCCTCACGCTTGTTTTCTCCAACACCCAGAGAACTTGCAGAGAAAGAGAACTCATTCGATTTCTCATCTATATCAGAAACATATTCTGCTTCTCCATCTAAATCTAAGAGAAAGTTTCCAGAAGCGAAAGCCTCCTTCTCAAACTCTCGAAGCAAAGATTCACGAGGAGATGTAGGTTCACCATCTGAGGTATAAACATAAGAACATTCCTCAAGTTCAAGCATGTTTAGAAAATCATTAGCTACAGACTCAGTAATGTCATCCAAGCTTAGTGACTTCGTTGATATTTTGGCACCTTTGTAACTAGATTTAACTTCCAAAAAGTTTTTTTTCTTCGTAGAATCATCCATGGCTGATCGAGATTTACTCTCAGATGACTCAGAATTTACCTGGCTACTGAAAGTTGACTTGGGTGCTCCATCAACTGAATGTTTTAGTGCGGCCACTGATAACTGATCAATAAAATGGGTTTCCTCGAAAAAGGATTCATCTTCATCTTTAAGTATCTCATGGACATCAATAATTTCAATTCTCGAGGACTCTGTATTTGGATCAGTGCTTTCTTCCAGCCTTGATCTTTCTTGCTGAAACATCTCTACTCCTTGTCCAGTAAAAGCAAAATCAGTGTCGCCAGAGTCATCTGCTTGCGTATCAGTCTTCAAATCTTGGTCTACTTCAGTTTTCCGCAGATGTTCATACTGAATATCAGTTCCTGTTGATCGTTGTGGGTTTTGTTCGCTAAGTTTCTCATAGAGAAAATCTATTGACTGGGAAAGATCCAAACTTAGACTCGGCGAGACTTGATTGACGACCTTTCCATCATCAAGCGATGACGATCTATGGTCCATACTTGGAACACTACCAACCCGCTTCAGCATCACATTTTCACTTGTTGAGTCACAGACTGAACTGCTGACAACTGAGTAATCAAAACTAAGATTCAAAACTGCAGACTCCGCCAGGCCTGATAATTTGAAGCTCGTGTTCCACTTTCTCGTGCTTCTTGTACCTTCCAGTTCCTCCAGAGACAACGGTAATATCTTGGTGAAATCAACCCAATGCTTCCCTAGAACAAGCCATGGAGCATCAACAGGAGAGACATAGACCAAAAAAAGCTTCACTTGATACTTTGCAGAACGATGAGGCCCATGTTTGCTACCATATACCGAACATCTATGCGTTAAAGTCTCCTCAAACTCAGCAGTTCCTTGTAAAACCTTGGAAGGTTGAGTAGACATCACTTCATCCTTCCTCTTCCATTGCACAACCAACTTAGTACCATCTAAATTCAAAGGCAGCCCTTCAATGGAATGAACATGGAGTAGAAAACAAACATCAAACCTACGCTGCCCAAAATGAGCTATAGCTTTTAAAGGCTTCTTCCAATCCCATGGTACCGACGGTTTCTTCTTCTTATTTGACAATACTAAACCAATATCTGTAGTTCTCGAAACAGATTTAGATCGAACAGAAGGAGACAACGAAAGCACCGGTCTTTGAGGTCCATTGTTCAAGTAAAGAGCTTTACTTACCTCCTTAATGTCCTTCAACAACTGCCCATTAGATGACTCCTCTCTATCATTCACAGACATCACTTACACTCTCTTTGATCAAGTCATAAAATGGAGCAACACTGCTGAAGAAGTCATAGAATCAATGTTAATGAAACCACCAAAAACAAGAATCTAACATGACCCAGAACGCAAAAACGAAAACTTTGAAATGGGTTTAGTCTCTAATGAAATCTGAATACTTAAAGGTCTCTGATTTCATACAAAATCTAACACAGAAACAGAGATAATCTATTGTGATTCTTACCGGTTTCAGAGGATTTTGAAAGAGTTTCTGGGGATTCTAAAAATAGAAAACTTTTGAAGAATCTTTGGAAGATGACTTCATAGGAAAAGCGTGAGTGAATTTAATACTTAGTTTCGCCGGTAGGGTTTCATTTGATTCCGGTGGGTCCAAAATTGAGTGTTGCCGTGTTGGTGATGCAGTGACGTAACCATGGGAGAAAAGTAGAGAAGATGAAGATATTAAGAGAAGATAATAAGTGTGTGTTGTTTTTTTGTTATGGTCAAAAATGTGTGTTGTTTTTTTCTGTCAAAAACGGCAAAACAACCATGTATGCATTTTGCATTTTGCATTTTTTTCAATATTAACCACCATAGTTCCTTAAAATTATATTTGTTTTCTTTTATAAAGTTAAAATTTAATTTGTTACGAAGAATAAACACAAACATTTTCAAAAAGAAAGAAATTTTCTATTTTTTTCATTGTTGTATAAAAGTTTCCATATAGTAAAAAACAACTGTTTAGTAGATATATATTACCAATACGTATCTAAAAATACTTTCTTTTCTTTGACCGAAAGAAAAGGAGATACTAATCAATGATTTATAAGAACTTGATGTCTCGTCCGTTGAATTGAGAGAAGAAAAACTTAGAGCACAAGCACCTTTGTGGTCTTGTGGTGACATAATTCTGCCTAGTGTTGTATGACGATGATGGCTTCACCGTACTCGTCAGACGATATCCATTCTCCGGTGAACTCGACGGTGGTTGCAATAGACAAAGAAAAGCATAGTCATTACGCTGTTCGTTGGGCGGTCGACCATCTCCTCAATATGATTCACAAGCCAGTCATGATTCTTGTCCATGTTCGTTCCAAAAACTCAAACCGTAGGTACCTTATACTCATTTTTTCCTATAATCTTGAAACTACTAGGAATCATCCTCATGTGTTTTCAAAATGTTTCAAGATTTTGAATGAATTGCGCAGATGGAGCCAACTTGAATAATGATGATCTAAATCAACTTTTTATTCCATATCGAGGATATTGTGCGCGAAAAGGGGTATAATGATATATATAATGCTTCTTCCATTTCGATTTTCGAACATTTTTTCAAGCATAAAACAGAAATGTTTTAACACCATGCACTCTTAGTAGATTACAATGACGGAGGTTGTTCTTGACGATTCGGATGTGGCAAAATCAATCTTGGATTACGTTAATAACAATCTGGTTAACAATCTTGTAATGGGAGCATCCTCGAAGAACAGTTTCGCTAGGTCTTTTATGTTTAGTAAACCACATGAGGTGCAATCTAGCATAATGAAATCGACGCCTGATTTTTGTTCCGTGTATGTCATTTCTAAAGGAGGAAAAGTTCAATCTTCCCGACCAGCACAAAGACCTATCACCAATACGCTTGCCCCTCCTCGTGTTCCGTCATCTGGCTTTCTAATCCAATCTTTATCGGATAGCGAGCAAGATCTTATACCTAGGTAAACCAACCTTTGGTTAATTTCTTTTATCAGTCTCTTGCAAGAGTTTTACTAAAAGCAAATGTTGATTGTTTTCTTGATACATTTTAGGGTCCAGCGTAGTGCAAGGAACAATCCTAATGAGACGACTTATCCGCATAATCGTGCCTTCAATACAGCGCAAAAAAGTTACAAAAACACTATAAATGGGTCGATGGATTTCAACAACGGTTTTAACCAAGTTGCCTTCCAAAGAAATCCAACGTTACAAAGTTCATTTTCTGATGAATCTGAAGTTAGCTTAGGCATGATGGGTTCCATTGATCTCTCTGCTCATAATAATATGGATTTTTATCATGGTGCATCGAGTTCTTCAGAAGAGTCGATTCCACAATCAACGGTACGTTTTCTTGAATGATTTTCTTTTTTTCAGTTTAAGAATTAGAAGGCTCTAAATCCATGGTTGTTGCTTTGTTTGCAGAAAGATATTGAAGCTGAAATGAGAAGACTAAAGCTTGAACTTAAGCAAACTATGGACATGTATAGCTCAGCTTGTAAAGAAGCACTTACCGCAAAAAGAAAGGTATAGTTTAAATTCGAGCAAGTTTCTTGTTGAATACGGTACTGATCATGGCTTCTTTTATTATCTAGGCAAACGAGCTAAATCAATGGAAGATAGAAGAAGCTCGAAAGTTCGAGAAAGCGAGGCTTTCTGAAGAAGCGGCATTGGCAGTTGCGGAAATAGAGAAGGCAAAGTGTAGAACAGCCGAAGAAGCAGCTGAGAAAGCTCAGAGAATGGCTGAGCTAGAAGGACAAAGAAGGAAGCAAGCGGAGATGAAAGCGATAAGTGAAGAAAAGGATAAAGACCGTGCAGTGAGTGCTTTGGCACATAACGATGTTCGCTACCGAAAATATACAATAGAAGAGATTGAAGAAGCCACAGAGCGGTTTGCAAATCATAGGAAGATTGGTGAAGGAGGATATGGACCGGTGTATAATGGCGAACTTGACCACACTCCTGTTGCCATTAAAGTTTTAAGACCTGATGCTGCTCAAGGAAAAAAACAATTTCAACAAGAAGTAAGATTTGTATTTTTTTTCTTTTTTTTTTGGTTTTGCATATTACAAGTTTAATTAATCTCATAATCATATATATATTTATACTCTCATTTTACAGGTTGAGGTTTTAAGTTCCATAAGGCATCCTCACATGGTTCTTCTCCTAGGTGCATGTCCTGAATATGGATGTTTGGTTTATGAGTTCATGGAAAATGGGAGTTTAGAGGATAGACTCTTCCGTAGAGGAAACTCTCCACCGCTTTCGTGGAGGAAACGTTTTGAAATAGCCGCGGAGATTGCTACTGCTCTCTCATTCCTTCATCAAGCTAAGCCAGAACCTTTAGTTCACCGCGACCTTAAACCAGCCAATATACTCTTAGACAGAAACTACGTGAGTAAGATCAGCGACGTTGGTTTAGCGCGGTTAGTCCCAGCATCGGTAGCTAATAGCGTCACGCAATACCACATGACATCCGCGGCAGGAACGTTTTGTTACATAGACCCTGAGTACCAACAAACAGGAATGTTAACCACAAAATCAGACGTATACTCATTGGGGATATTGCTACTTCAGATCATAACCGCAAGGCCTCCCATGGGGCTGGCTCACCAAGTCTCAAGGGCAATTAATAAAGGAACTTTCGCGGAATTGCTTGACCCCGTCGTGCATGACTGGCCTTTACAAGAGGCTCAATCTTTTGCTATTCTATCGTTGAAATGCGCGGAGCTAAGAAAAAGAGATAGACCTGATCTTGGGAAGGAAGTAGTCCCACATCTTATTAGATTAAAAAACTTTGGGAATGATGTTGATTTGATTCGTGGTGATGAGAGAACTAACGAATGGATATGACAAAGAACAAACATATGGTTTTGTAATATTCAGAATATATAAACTGTTGAACTTCGCATACAATTCATACAAATAAGGCTCATGTTGGAATTCGAATAGAGTCTCTCTTCTCATAAAGTTCCTTTTCACAATTTTACCCCTTTAAGAGCCATTGTAGGATTTTTTGAGTATACAAACAGAAGAATAGAAGATGGATTCCATTTGCAAATTGTAGGCTTTTTGAGTATACAAACAAAAGATTTAAAAGAAGAGAATAAGAATACATGTTAAGAGGTTAGTACTAATCTAATACAAAAGATGTTAAAAAAAAAATTCCAAATGTTAGGGTTAACAAAAGAAAAACAATAAAACTAAATAAAATATCTTTCACCAGTAAAAACTCAAGAAAAGATCTGAATCTACTTCATATCTGTCATAGAAAACAATTGAAATCCACTCCAATATTGGTATTGATTTCTTTGGATCTTCTATAAAGTTGACTATAATTATGCATATATATTCTTTCAACATGTCCAACTCAAAAACTGAGATCGAGATTCATAAATAACAACTATGTAAACTGATGAAATAAAGCCAATTATCTGTCATGAGTTCTTTCTCGATAGAGAGAGACACCGAAAAATAAAAAGAGACACAGAGAGAGGGTATGGCTCATAAAATGAAACAATCTACATAATAATGGCAAATCAATTGATATTTTAATATGCTGATTTTATGTTTGTAAAGAATGGAACCAAACCAAGGATATCGAAATAATCAAAATCAAAATATATCTCTATATAAAAATAAATTAAATGGTGTAGAGATAGAGAGAGAAGGGGGTGACGGATAGAGAGTGAGCACACATAGCTTCAAGCATGAAACCGTCAAATATGCAAGAAAGCCACCATGTGTGCTCACTCTCTTCTGTCACCATCAATTCCTCACCACTCAAACCATCCATATTTATGTTTCATATATCTTAATAACACATACATGTATAAACCCTAGCCACTTTAAACTCAATGGATATAATATAATATAGATATACCTATATATTTATATATCGATGTTCCATTATGGAGGAACATTGCTCTAAATTCTTATAGGATATATGTGTTTTATCTTTGGCTGTGTGAAGAAATGAAGAGCTTGTTGTGGCTTTTTATAGCCAAAGGGAGAGAGAGGGATCGAGAGAAATCCTAACAAATATCCTATATTTTCTCTCTCTTCTCCAATTATTTGGATACAGATAATCTTGAAGATAATGGAAGGAAAAAGATAATAAAGTTATTATTTTACAGTAATATTGAGATATTTATTTCCATTTCTAGTTAATTCTCTTTTATTTTTACTTTTTTGCTCATATGATAAACACCCAATTCATTGCTATATGTAATCGAGCCAGACTGATATATCCTGTTTCCGTTTTCACCCTATAATTTAAAGGATTTGGAAGACTTTATAAATGTCTAAAATCTAAATCAATGGAATCTGGACAAACAAGGAAGAAAATGACCTAACTATATAGCAA